CACCTCCCACGCTATCCCTGTAACCCTGCGTTTCTCATGGCTAGACTACTTAGTCTGCGCATCCCTAGATATTATGGCAATTTAGAATCATAGAATCCCTACAGTGTGGAAACAGGCCCTTCGGCCCAACAAGTCCACACCGACCCTTGGAGCATCCCACCCAGAACCATCCCCCTATAACACACCTAAGCTGAACATCTCTGGGCACAATGGGCAATTTAGCATGGCCAATCCACCCAACTTACACACCTTTGGACTGTGGGAGGAAACTGGAGCACCTGGAGGAAATCCACGCAGACGTGGTGAGAATGTGCAAACTCCACAGTTTCCCAAGGCTGGAATTGAACCTGGGTCCCTGGTGATATGAGGTAGCCATGCTAAGAACTGAGCAACGGCACCGCCCCTAAAGATGAGACGGCCGCACGGTATCATTGCAAATGCATGCTTCAAATGAAAATACGCAATGTTAAATCCATGGTTGGAAACCTGCAGACTTGGTCAGTGCGGGGATTGAAACCATGACCTTGGGTGTTATGAGCACACGGTCCAACCATCTGAGCTAATCTTGCGAAGGTGTTAGTGAGCTGCCTCTTTGAATCTCCACAATCCACATGCTGTAGGAAGGGAATTCCAGGATCTTGATCGAATAAACGGTGATACATTTCCAAGTCAGGATGGAAGGGAACTTGCAGGTAGTGGTGTTCCCATGTATCTGCTGCCCTTGTCTTCCTAGATGGAAGTGGTCAGGGATTTGGAAAATGCTGTCTGAGGATCTTTAGTTATTTTCAGCAGTGCATCTTGTAGAGAGTGCACATGCTGCTAATGAGTGTGGGTAGTAGATGGAGTGGACAACTATGGTTGTGGTGCCAATCAAGCAGGTTGCTTCACCCTGGATGATGTCAAGTTTCTTGAGTCTTGTTCGAGCTACACCCATCCAGGCAAGTGAGGAGTATTCCATCACTCTCATGACTTGTCCGTTATCGATGGTGCACAGACTTTGAGGAGTCAGGAGGTGAGTTACTCAACGTAGTATTCCTAGCGTCTGACGTGCTGTTGGAGCCACTGAGTTTATGCGACAAGTCCAGTTGAGTTCCTGATTAATGCTAACCCCCAGGGTGTTGATTGTGGGGGATTCAGTGATGGTAACACTACTGAATGTCAAGGGGTGGTAATTAGATTCTCTCTTATTGGAGATGGTCATTGCCTGGCATACATGCAGTGTGAATGTTACTTGCCAATTGTCACCCCAAGCCTGGATATTGTCAGAGATTTTGCTGCATTTGAACATGGACTGCTTCAGTATCTGAGATGTCATGAATGTTGCTGAACATTGCACAATCATCAGCGAACATCCCCACTTCTGACCTTACAATGGACACAAGGTCATTGATGAAGCAGCTGAAGATGGTTGGGCCTAGGATACTGCCCTGAGGAACTCCAGCAGAGATGTCCTGGAGCTGAGATGACTGACCTCCAACAACCACAACCATTTTCCTACATGCCAGGTATGACTCCAATGAGCTGAGAGTTTGCCTCCTGATACCCATTAATTCCAGTTTTGTTAGGGCTCCTTGATGCCACAATCGGTCAAATGCAGCCTTGATGTCTCTCTTACCACACCTCAGGAATTCAGCTGTTTTGTCTCTTTTACTTAGTTTTAGATGTGCCTGGTGCTGCTCCTGACATGTCTTCCTGCAATCTTCATTGAACCAAGATCAATCCTCTGGCTTGATGGTAATGGTAAAGTGGGAAATATGCCAGGCTAATATGTTGCAGATTGTGTTTGAGTGCAATGCTGCTGGTACTGGTGGCCCACAACATCTCATGGATGCCCAGTCTTAGGTTTCTACATTCCTTCAAATTCTATCCCATTTAGTAATAGTAGCAACAGTAACAGACAACACACTGGAAGGTGTCCTCATTGTAATGATGAGTCTTTATTTCCCCAAGTAATGGTCACTTCTACCAAACTGCCACTTACCTTAAGTAGAACATTTTGCTTATGAAATATAGTGATGGTTTACTATCATTTTAGAGTCATAGAGAAATAGCATATGGAAACAGACTCTTCAGTTCAACTCATCCATGCCGACCAGATATCCTAAATTAATCTAGTCCCATTTGCCAGCATTTGGCCCATATCCTTCTATACCCATCCTATACATATACCCATCCAGATGCTTTTTAAATGTTGCAATTGTACCAGCCTCCTCTGGCAGCTCATTCCATACATGCACCACCCTCTACGCGAAAATGTTGTCCCTTAGGTCCCGTTTAAATCTTTTCCTTCTCACCTTAAATCTATGTTCTCTCATTTTGCACTCCCTCACCCCAGGGGGAAAAAAATTGTCTATTTACCCTATTCATGCCCTTATGATTTTATAAACCTCTATAAGATCACCCCTCAGCCTCCGACACTCCAGGAAAAACAGCTCCAGTCTATTCAGCCTCTCCCTATAGCTCAACCTCTTCAACCCTGGCAACATCCTCGTAAATCCTTTCTGAACCCTTTCATGTTTCACAACATCTGTCCTGTAGCAGGGAGACCAGAATTGCACTCAGTATTCATCTGAATGGTACCACAAATCCATGGACAGTTATCATATTAAGTAGCCTCATGTGTGATACCTTATTGAACAACTTTTGGAAATCCAAATATATTTCTGGGACTCCCTTTATCTATCCTGCTTGTTGCCTCAATGAATGCAATAAATTCATCAATCACAATTTCCCCTTCTTGAAGTTTAGCTGGCTCTGCATGATTTTATTTTAAATTTGCAAATACTCTGCTTTTACTTGTTAGAATTGATGCTAGCATTTTTAAAATTAGATTTTGATAAGCAATTGGGTGAAAGTAAAGCAGGGATAAAAAGGAATGTGGAGTAATTAGTTCAGCCAGAATCTTACTGAATGGCAAAACAGGCTCAAGGAACTGAGTGTTATACTTCCGTATTTCACCTAAAAGCAGAAGTCTCTTAAATATTGCTGCAAAGGCCATATCCTTACATCTGACATGCATGGTTTCTAAGCAAATCAGAGGATTGATGAGAGTAACGTGGTTGCTGTGGTGTACATGGATTGTTAAAAGACATTTGATGAAATGCCAAATAACAGGTTTAGCAGCAAACCTGAACCATGGCATAAAAGGAACAGGAATGTCATAGATAAAACAGAGGCTGAGAGACAGCAATTAAACAATTATTTTCTCAGACTGGAGAAAATAATAGTGGATTTCCCCAGGTGTCAGTATAGAACTACTAAGGTATTGGATTCGTGGGATACCAAAATCTGATGATGCAAAACTTGGAAGGACTATGTGCAGGATAGTAATAGACAGTAAGAGGGCATAGGTTGGTGAGTTAGGCAGATAGATGGCAGAACATATTCAATGCAGAAAAGTATCTATCGACACACTTTGATAGGATGGACTAGGAGAGAATAAAATACATTTCAAAAGAGATTCTAGAACAGAGGTCCCCAGGGTTATGTATGCACAAATCTTTTATGGTGGCAACGTGTGTTGGAGGAGCTGTTAATATGGCTTATGGGATAATTTAGGTCATATAATGTACCTGCATCTAACACCTCCTCCTTTGGCAGCTTTTTTCCACATACGAACCACCCATGTGTAAAAAAGTTGCCTGTCAGGTCCCTTTTAAATCTTTCTCCTGTCACCTTAAAAATATGCCCTCTAGTTCTGAGCTCTCCTGTCACAGGGAAAAGACCTTTGCTATTCGCCTTATCTATGTTCCTCATGATTTTTATAAACCTGTATAAGGTCACCCACCCCAAGCTCCTACGTTCTACTGAAAAAGGTCCCAGCCTATCCAGCCTCTCCTTAAAACTCAAACCTTCCAGTCCCAGCAACATTCTTGTAAATCATTTCAATTTAATAATATCCTTCCTATACAAGGGCAACCAGAACTCCAAATGTGGCCTCACCAACTTCCTATACAACTCCAACATGACATACCAACTTCTGTACTCAATGGTCTAAGCAATGAAGGCAAATGTGCTAAACTCCTTCTTGACCACCTTGTCTACCTGTGACGCAACTTCCAAAAAACTATGTACCTTACCCCTAGGTCTTTCTGTTCTACTACACTTTTGAACATGTCAACATGACACTTGCAGATCCTCTCTTCTGCCTGAAGTATTCATTACATAATTCACATTATTGAGTTATTTCTTGATTATTTTCATTCATTCATGGGATGTGAGCGTTGCTGATTGGAACAGTGTTTATTGCCCCTCCCTAGTTGTCCTTGAGAAGGTGATGGTGAGCTGACTTATGGAACTGCTGCAGCCCACGTGCTGTAGGTTGACCTGCAATGTTCTTAGAGAGGATGTGTAAAACAAGTTGCAAAGGAAGTCTTTGGAGTGAGGAGAACAGCTTAACTCAAGAGACAATTTTTGCTTTTATAACAGATTAAGGAAAATATGAGAAAATGGTCAGCTTTATTGGGCATTCCTTTTCAAAAAATTTTACATAGGTTCAACCAACTTGTACCACAGTTTATTATGGTTTAATCTGACTGCACGATGACAACCAAAGGGCTAAGAGCTTGGAAGTGACAATAAATTACTATTCTGTTCAATTATTATTCTATTTAGCTTATCAACATTTTCACATCATAGCAGCATTTAAAGTTAAAAGGAAAGTACGTTAAGGGGTGCATCATAGAAGCCTTAACTTTGAATTGTAATTGAGAAAAAATTTCTAACTCTTGGGTTTGTCCATAATGTTATGTTTTTGATAAATGCAAATAAATATATGTGAAGACTTCATATTTTACAAAAAGAGTACAACATATACCATTTTTTTCGTTTTTTACAACAATGAATTGGGCATGATCTGGAAACAGATCTTCAATGTACATTATAATTTCATCAAGTTACTGTCATCCAGGCCATTGTCAATATTGCTCTACATTTATGCTGTAAATGCAATTGAAGGATTGCACGATCTGAAGCTAAAACTAACCATTATCTCCACTTACTTGGGTTTTGAATTTTTATTGTTGAGTCAGGTTCTGGATGAGGCTTGTGAACAACTTGTGTACAAACTTGTTCAGTCAAAATCTATAAACAAAATGTAAAATATATGAATACATTCCTTCACATTAGCAAGAAGATCTCTATACAACAGCCATAGTTTCCACCATTTTCCTGACATTATTGTAAAATTTGCCATGACAGCAATAATGAAGTGATCAATTCCCACTGTTATGATGGAAGAAATCTGGAGTACACACATATAGAGTTAAAACTAGAAATCTATTAAGTTGTTATCAGAGACACTTTGCTTTTCCAGACAGCACACTATCAGAACCTCACCAATAGATTTGATATTGAAATGACTGCAAAAATATGACCTTTCTGTACTCATCCACTAATTCTACATTAAAAATGGCTGAAAAGGGCAGGACTAGTGTATTCAGGAGTCAATGTGTTTTGAAACTACAGAGGTAGTGATTATTGGGTAACATCTCTTGTCAAAAAAAAGTTATGAACGTGTGGAGTCTCATTTCTGAAGAAGAAAATTAGTGTTGGAGCTTTAAAGAATTATAACAAATTGTGTTTTCTATGATCTCTCTATCTCTTCCCCAAGTCTATCCACCTTTCAAATTTTTATTTGGTTTTCTGTACATCACTGAATTTACATTAAATTTCTAGGCTTAGACTCCTCATGTCTCAATGATAATATGGCTAAGAGTTTTGTTGTTTTTTATGTTGTTCAGAAATACCACAGGTTGCTTGTAGAGGGTGCCACCTTTAACAGATGCCAGTTTAAAGAAAACCTCTGCTGAAAATCCCACGATAACAGTATGGGAAGATGTGAGCAAACAATAAGCACTCATTCTACACTGCTGAGAGCAAATTCAAGCCCTTAGGTCCTACTTGAACATTAATTTGCATCCTTAGCAACAAGTTCAACATCTGTATTGGAATAGCAATTGACCATCTAAAATCAGAGGGAGGTGTCAAATGGGACACCATCCTTTTATGACAGTTGTTGCTTTGGGCATGCTTATGCACCCAAAACCTACCAATGAGCAGCAATCACACAGACAACTCTGCATTTCTGATCAAGAAATGCAGAGTGTACCTTTGTTGTAGCATTGGATGACAGGGACCTGGCAATACAAGTCTGTCTTTTATGACACTGGTTCCTGTAGTTTGGCAAATATTCACCAACACACTGAAAAGCTGTGGAAATTTAAACAACATTTAAAAGACATTTGCATAGGTTCACGAATAGGAAGAGCTTAAAGGAATATGGGCCAAATGCAGGCAAATGGGACAAGTTCAGTTTAGGAAACAAAAACAGAAGTTGCTGGAAACAAAAACAGAAGTTGCTGGAAAAGCTCAGCAGGTCTGGCAGCATTGTGAAGAGAAATCGGAGTTAACACCAAAGTTAACCGTTAACTGTGATTTCTTTTCACAGATGCTGTCAGATTTGATGAGCTTTTCCAGCAACTTCTGTTTTTGTCTCTGATTTACAGCATCTGCAGTTCTTTCTGTTTTTATTCAGTTTAGGAAACCTGGTCGGCAGGGTGAGTTAGGCCGAAGTGCTGTATGACTATATGCCTTCCTCCATTCTTCATCAAACCAGGGGTGATCCCCTGGCTTGGTGGTAATGGTAGAGTCGGGGTTATGACAGCAACGATGTTGCAGGTTGTGTTGGAGTACAATTTTGCTGATGACAACAGCCCACCGTACCTCATTGATGCCCAACGACCTTTTGAAGTTTATCCCATTTAGCACTGTGATAATATCTTATATGGTGTCATGTGGCACCATCAATGTGAACAATGTGAACACCACAATTACCCTGTGGTGGTAAATCTTACCAATACTGTCATGGACACGTACTTCTGCAGAAGGCAGAACATTGGAGATTAGGTCAAATAGGTTTTTGCCTCTTTTTGGTTCCTTTACCACCTGCCAGACCTAATCTAGCAGCAATGTCCTTTAGAACTCGACAAGCAGTGATGCTGGAGATCGAAATCTCCCACACAGCAAATTCTGACCCCTTTCTCCACATAATATTCAACATTGAGGAGTTCTGATTCAGCAGTTGAGTTAGGATGGTACATGGTCATCAGCAGGAGATTTTGTTGCCTATGTTTGGCCCAATGTCATGAGACTTCAAGGTGGCCGAAGTCAACGTTGAAGACTTCCAGCGCAACTTCCTCCCAGTTATACTCGATGCGCCACCACCTCTGCTTGGCCTGTAGGGTCAGTGAGACAGGACATAACCAGGGATAGGAATAAGACAATAAGAAATAGGAACAGGGGCAGACTATTCAGCACCTTGAGCCTGCTCCACCATTCAATGGAATCATGGCTGATCCGACACGCCATATGTCCACTTTCCTCCCATCTCCCTATAACACTCGATTCCCCTACCGATCAGGAACAATGATGGTGTCTGGGGCATTGTCTCTAAGGTCAAGCATCCTTTCTCCTCTTGTTGGTTCCCTCTTCACCTGCTGTAGACCCAGTTTGTCAGCTATAGTGAACAGACTGCTGCTTGACCAATCTGAGACAGGTCTCACAATTTTGGCACTAGCACGTTAGGGAGGACTTTGCAGGGTCAACAGGATGGTGTTTGCCATTGTCATTTCCGATGCCTAGGTCTATTCATTTTCCTTTCCAGTAGTTTTATGACTAAATGGCTTGCTAGGCTATTTCATACGGCAGTTAAGATTCAATTACATTGCTGTGGGTCTGGAGTCATACGTAAATCAGACCAAGTAAGGATGCCAAATCTCCTCCCCTAAAGGACGTTAGTGAACCAGATGAATTTTTCCAACAATCAACAGTGGTCATCATTAGGCACACATCCAGATTTTATTGAATTCAAATTCCACCATCTGTCATAGTGGAATTTGAACCAGATCCCCAGAACATTACCTGGGTCTCTGGATTAATAGTCTAGCAATAATATATTACATATCATGTATTTTGTATTCTACACTAACAATTTAAATTTGCTCAAGTTTGAGGTGGTTTTAAAGTATTTTTGATCAAGTTGTGGCCAATCCACATGATACCTATGAACACTCTTTAACTTTTTTGATGAGATCTACCTCAGTTCGAATAATCTTCATCAGTCTCACACCTAGACTTTCTTGATAGTCCTACTATTAATTGCTCATTTTATGTACAAGTTGAACAAGTTAATTTTTGTTATCCAGTCAACAACCGCACAGGGAGCAGAAATGAACCTTTAGATTCAGTCCTTCTCAAATTGAGGCGTTCCAAAGGTGAAGCAAACTAGTAATAAATTAAGCTTTGCATCTTGATCGTAAGATTGCTTTTTAAATTTAGTCAAATTTCTATATTAAAGTGGTGGTATTTTCAATGTTTTTGACTAACAAAGATTAAACAACAATCAGTATCAAACCAACGTAAAATCGACTTTTTTGGTAATAGGAAGCCAAAATAGACACTGAAGAACAAATTAGTTGATCAATGGATGTTAGAAATCAAAATTAAATTGCAGCACAATTAGCTTAGGTGGGACATCACAAACAACAATGGGAACAGGTTGATGGACACCTTTCCTTTTCTGCTATGGAAAAGATAAAAAACTAAATGGTCATTTTCAATGAATGATTCCTTTGTACTGTTCTAGTAAACCTATTGTTATGATCCCAGCTGATGCTTTTACTGGACAAAACACATCCAGACCGAAATCTCACTTGTTAGGTCATATTTTTGCTTTGTTTTATTTAATGACATAGTCTTTCACTGAAACACAAGCATGCAACACTGCAGATATAGTATTAACAATAGAAGTTTATTACACAAAAAAGATAAATAGAATAAACCAAATTACCTATATACAACAATCTGAAAGATTTCAAATAACATGCTAAAAATATAATATTCCATCTCTCCCAATGACATCTTTTACAGTGCTCAATACCAGACAGAATTCCCTTCTCTACCACCACAGCCACAAAAATATTCCTGACATGAATATCACAATATTTTAAGTTACAGATATTAGAAATGAATATTTCTATGATAGTTATGCAATGAGTGGGATATTAACTTCTAAATCTAACATTTGTGCCACGTTTTAGAAATATTTTAATTTATCAAATAAAGGTACACTAAATGTTAACTGAGTGATTTAACTAAAATATAAATTACAGTCAATTTTGTAGTTAAAGATTATGTACAGGAAAAACAGCAACATTCTATAAGATACATACAATGATGCTATGCAGTACAAGATAAATTGCACTGCTGTCTATTAATCTGTTCTTAATCTGCTTGTTTTATTTTCTATCCATTTAAAAACAATGCTCAAAATTAAGACTATTATATTTTTTCAAGGTTTACTGTTACCCTCCTCAAAACAATCTAACAACTTTCAAGAACCAGCCTGACCGCAAAAATTAAAAGACATAACTGGACATAGCAGACACCTCACTGGAACACATTCAAAATGGGGCTAATTGCATTTTAACTGAAAAAGGCAAGCATATGGGTACAGGTTCTATGTTATTCCAGGAATCATCAATTTGTGAAAGTATCTTTTCACATCTGAACACAAGGAAACGTCATTGTACAAAATGCATTGGCAATTGCAGCTTTACCATTTTATCCCCAAACAGAATGCATGCAAACTTCAGAAATCTAACAAATACTCTAAAACAGTGAGTTTTTTTGGTTGTTAAGCAAGTAGTAAACACAGCAAGAAATTCACCTTTGAACTGTGTGTAACATATGCTTCTCACAAAAATTACAGTAGTTGACATGTCTCTTTTCTGTTCAATGTCTTACCTCATAAAGTGTGTTATATGTCGTTATAGTAAGAGTATTGGTGTGAAGCATTAACCTTTCTCCAAGCAGAGTGAACAGACTGTGTGTGTGCATGATCTCCACCTTCCTTCTGAAAGAGTCACATGGTTATACTAGATATGACTGATTACAGTTTATTTTGCATAGTGATTAGAAAGCAATTAAATTCACCTTTTCTTCATTTAAGAGTCGCTTTTGTTATGTCCATTGCCCGATCAGATGGAAGTTATTCCTACTTGCACTAATTTAAATTTTCACTTAAGGACATGATTAAAGTACATTAAAATTGTGATCTCTTTACACTTCATAATGAAGGCGTATAACAAGGCAAATACCAGAAATTTAGAATATTCAAGATATTTAATATGCAATTTAATTACATTTATTTAATATCACAATATTTTAAAGCATTTTACAAAATGGTTTACCAATTTTAAGTGGAACAAACATTCATGTAGTAAACACTCTGTGGGAGCCATTCTGAACCAGCAATAACCCACAAACAGCTACTAGGTTAATATGCAGTATTTTGATTTTTTGTTATTTTCACTATATTCAGAAATGTTCTTAAACACAACTGAACATTTCTTTTCCCCCAGTCACCAAATCATTTTTTTTCTTCTTATCAACTACCACAGTAAATAACCTGTGCTTCCAACTGGTTTTGAGCAGTTCTGTGGAAGGGTCACTGGACCCGAAACGTTAGCTCTGATTTTTTTCTCCACAGATGCTGCCAGACCTGCTGAGATTTTCCAGCAACTTCTGTTTTTGTTCCGGATTTACAGGAGTTCTTTCGGTTTTTATTAAGGAAAATCCTAAGTTATTTTACAAGTACCTTAAAGGTTGAAGGATAACTAGGGAAAAGTACGGCCCATTAAGGAGCACAGTGGAAATCTGTACGTGGCACCAGATGGCATTGGTAGGTTCTAAACAAATGCTTTATGTATATTTTCACTAGTGAAAGGGATGACATTGGTATAAATATCGAGAAGGAGGACTGTGAGAAACTTAAAGAAATTAGCATAGACATAGAGGAGGCTCTGAGTGATCTAGTAGGTCTAGAAGGCCTAAAAGTAGATAAATCTCCAGACCTGGATGTAATATGTCTCATCCTGTTGAGAGAGGCAAGGGAGGAAATAGCAGGGTGCTGGCAATAATTTTTAATTCTTCTCTGGCCACGCGGGGAGGTGCCAGAAGACCAGAGGACAGCCAAAATGGTATCATTATTCAAGAAGGCAGTAAGCAATAAACCAGGAAACTACAGGCTAGTCTATCTAACCTCTATGGTGGGGAAAGTAACAGAAAAAATTCTGAGGGACAGAATTAATTCGCATATGGAGAGTCAGGGATGCATCAAAAACAGTCAGCATGGTTTTGTTAAAGGGAGGTCATGTCTGGCCAACTTGTTCAAATTTTTCGAAGAGGCGACCAGGTGTGCAGATGAGAACGATGCATTAATCTAGTTAGACTTCAGTAAGGTTTTTGAAAAGCTCCCAAACGGGAGACTGGTAACAAATTTAAGAGCACATGGAATCCAAAAATATCTTGCTAATTGCATTCAGATGTGGTTGAGTGGTAAGAAGCAGAGAATAATTGTCGAGGGGCGTTTTGTGACAGAAAACCTCTGTTGAGCGGGTCCTGCAGGAATCATTGTAGGGGCCCTTGCTGTTTGTGGTATGTACAAATAATTTAGAATTGAATATAGGAGCGTTGAAGAGTAAATTTGTGAATGATTCAAAAATGAATGGGGTGGTAAATAGTGATTTGGACAGGCAACAAAGCTAGGGAGCACTCGATGAATGATAAGATCCTGGGAAGCACTGGGGATCAGCGGGGCCTTGGTGTGCATGTCCACCTGTCACTTAAGATAGCAGGACAGTAGATAAAGTTGTTATGAAGACATATGGGATACTTGCCTTTATCAGCCACAGCATAGACTTTAACAGCAGGGAAGTTATACTGGAACTGTGTAAAGTGTTGGTTAGGCCACAGCTACAACATTTGGTGCAGTTCTGAAGTCCACATTATAGGAGGGGTGTGAATGCGTAGAGAGGGTGCACAGGGGATATACCTGGAAATTTTTAGTTATGAAGAGTTAATGGACTGGGGTTGTTTTCCTTGGAAGAATGGTTACCAAGGAGGGAATGAATGAGATGTATAAAATTATGAGGGGTGTAGATAGGGCAGACAGAAAGGACTGTTTCCCCTTGGTGGAGAGATCAATGATCACTGCATAGATTTTAAGGTAAGGGCCAGAAGGTTAACAGGGAATGTGAAGTGTTGAGAATCTGGAACTCACTGAATGTTAAAGTGATAAAGGCAGAAACCCTCATAACATTTAAGAACCAAAGTCAGAAATCACAAAACACAAGGTTATAGTCCAACTGGGTTTATTTGAAAACACAAACTTTTGCAGCCTCACTCCTTCTTCAGGCATTAACGAGAGATAGTATAGACACAGAATTTATAAGTAAAAGATCAAAGATTCACACCATTGATGTGGATGTAATAAATAAACCTCAGATGCTGTTAAATCTTTAATCAGTTAGAAGGTTTTAATTGATTAATATGCATATGTACATCCCCGAATTCCTTTCAAGTCACAGTCCTGAGAGAACTAAAGGTTTTTTAAGTGTAAGGAAGAGGCACCATTTCAGGTCAGACAATACATGTTAGGTGTGAGGCCTTGTTTAGAATCTGTTTGTGTTTTAGTCTGGAGTCAGACTGGTTTCATATTTATGGTAGGAATTTATAAACTGTCATACTGACTGATACTCATGTGACTCAGCCAACATTGTCTATCTAATACGCTGCAGGCAAGGATGCCCCAAGGCATGGTACATTGGCGAAACCATGCAGACGCTACAACAATGGAGAATGCCTCTGATAGCCAAGTTCGGTACCCATGAGGAAGGCCTCAACCGGGACAGGTGATCACACCATTCTATACACTCTCCCTCCCTCACACACAAGCATGCTCTCTCTTCACGACACACACACACACACACAAACACACACACACACACACACACACACACTCCCGTAACCTCACACACTCTCTCCGATAGCTTGTGTTTTCAAATAAACCTGTTGGACTATAACTGGTGTCATGTGATTTCTGACCTTGTCCACCTGAGTCCAACACCGGTACCTCCACATATTTAAGAAGCACTTAGATGTACACTTGTGATGCCAAGCATACAAGGCAATGAGCCAGGTGCTGTAAAAGTAATTAGAATAGTTAGGCGGTTGTTTTTGACCAGCACAGACTTGACGGGCCCAAGGACATGACTGTAACAGTTCAAGGACGCTGCTCACCACCACCTGCTCAAGGGAAACTATGGATGGACAGCAAATGCTGGCCAGCCAGTGACACCCACGTACCATGAAAGAATTTTTTTTTAAAAAGGAGGTTCTTCTGTGCTGTAGACCTGTATGACTCTAAAATTTGGAAGCAGAAGTTGGCCATTCAGCCTATCAAGTCTACTCTGCTATTCAATGAGATCATGGTGATCTGATAACTCTCAATTTCACTGTACTGTCTTTTCTCTGTAACCCTTAATTCCTTTACTGATTAAAAGTCTGTCTAAATCAGCCTGAGATATATCTAAGTTACTTTGAGTATAGTGAATCTATGGAATTCTTTACCACTGAGAGCTGTTGAAGCTGGGCTATTAAATATACTTCTTCTGAGATTATGCCCTCTGGTCCTAAGCTCTCGTACAAAGTGAAACACCTGTCCAAAGTGGACATCATGTCTCATTCTTGTATTCCAATAAGTACAAGCCCAACCTACTAAATCTTTCCTCATAAGACAATCCCTCTTTATGTAGTATCAGCCTGACGAACAATATCTTTCCTCAGATAAGAGACCCAAAACTGTTCACAATATTCCAGCTCTGGTCTGACTAGTGCTTTGTATAATTTTAGTAAAACATCCTTACTTTTATAGTCCATTACCTTTGAAATAAAGGTCAACATTGCATTTCCATGCACAAACCTGTCTATAGTACATTCACTTTCCTCACACATGTCATTAACAAACATTGAAAACCTGCACCCTTTCACTTCTTCAAAAAGATTCCTTCCCTCACTCGACTAAGGTGATATTGATTTGGGAACTAGACCTGCCTGTCGTATAAAATATAATTTCCTAATTTGACCACATGCATTACCTCTGTACAATTTATCTTGTTAATTATATCATTATTACTGCCCTTAGTATTTACTTATCATGTGAGCTGTCTGAAAATCTCTACCCCTATTAAATCACAAATGTGGAGACCTGTGATATCTATGTCTCAATTTCCACACATAAATACAATGTCTTAATACAACCCTCTGAGACATCTTAAAATTAAACCTTTCACTAACATTACAACCACTTTTTATTCCTCACTCTATCTATCATAAGAACATTATAACCAGGAATATTTAAGATATATTACCATTATAGCAACTATACATAGTATCTCTCCTTACTGAGATTAGTCATTAGTCATCCAAACACTTTACACACTCATAAGTACAGCTAAACTCTTACTCAAACTTTGTAGTATTAGGCTTTATTCATTTTTCATGTTTTAAAATAGTTTTGACATCCCTTGACCCTTTTACAATAGTGCTTTTATTTCTCTCAAGCACAGTTTGCTTCTGTTGATTTGTGATGCCTCTTTTCTAACAAACTATTGAATACCACCTCAAATTAACACAGAAGGCACAAACTTAAGAGATTTAAAACAGACCTACTAACATTAAAGTAAAATAAGAATTTCAACTCAAAATATATTAAAGTATAAAAGTGAAAATTTCAATACAATCTCCCAACCATTCTCAAAGAAACCAAGTTCTGCATTGTTATTTCTTGTTCCATGGGCTTCTCACAGTCTGACAAAGTGAAAAGAGTAAATTTACCTTAAAAGACAATTAACTTAGCTGTACTCACTTATGACCAAGGTGCTTGAGGAAGTATCCCAGAACTTTTAGTGCTTGAACACGGATACTTTCACTTTTTGAAGCCAATAATTTGTAAATAACACTAAAGAAAGAATAAATGTACCAAAATGATTACAATCATTAACACGAGATCACTGAGCGTTGTTAACAATATTTTTGAAACAAATGAAATCAGAATCATTGATCCTTCTAATCCTTGTAACTTCTTCTGATTTGCTATGGAATGGGAAATAGGAAAAGGCAGAGAATTTAAGGGCAAGAATCAAACTGGGCCACAGTGCAAAATAATGTTAATGGGACAAAGAATGTTCAAAATATAAAATAAGGCCCTGTGTCTTAATTCAAAGAGAATTTACAATAACACAGATGAATCAGTTATGCAAATAGATCTAAATGGGTTTGATATAGCAGCAGTTATGTAGATTTGGCTGCTTAGTGACCAGATGTACCCCTGAACATCCAGGGCTATTCAGTTTTTAGGAAGGACAGACAAGAAGAAAAATTAAGTTGGTAGGTGGGGCAGCACTGCTGATTAAAGAGCTCTAATATAATAGTAAGGAAGTATATTAGCTCCAGTCAAGTGGAATTTGTATGGGTTGAGCTCAGAAACAGAAAGGGGCAGAAGACAATAGTGCAGCTTGTGTATAGACCCCCAAATGTAAGGCACTAAAACAGGAAATTAGAGACAGAAACAATAAAAGTCCAATTGAAACTAATGGTGACTTCAATCTGCATAAAGATTGGGTAAATCAAATCAGTAACAATAACAAAGAGGAGGAATTCCAGGACTGTGTACAGGATGGTTTTCTGAATCAATAGGTTGAGGAACCAGCTGGAGAACCAGCCACCCCAGACTGGGTACTGTGTAACGAGAAAGGAATAATTGTTAATTTAGCTGTGCTAGATTGGGGAAAAGCAACCGCAAGAAGATGGAAGTCTTCAATAAGATTGAAAGTAATCTAGCGGATTCTAAGACAAGGGTCCTAAATAAAGGAAACTACGATGATATGAGGTGTGAGCTGGCTATGATAAATTGGAGAACATTATTTAAAAGGATGATGATGGATAAGCTTTGGTAACATTAAAAGAGCTACATGGAGAATCTGCAACAATTGTTCATTCTGTCTGGCACAAAAACAAAATGAAAACGTTGGCCCGGCCATTGATAATGAGGGAAATTAGGGATGGTCTTGGATCCAACAAGGGGCATACAAAATGGCCAAAAAAAGCAACAGACATGACAACTGGGAGCAATTTAGATTTCAGCAAAGGAGGACAAAGGAATTACAAAGTAGGAGCAAGTGGAGTATGACAGAAAGCTTGTGTTGAACATACAAACTGATTTTACAAGCTTCTATCAGTGTGCAAAGCAAAAAATATTAGTGAAGGCAAATGCAGGTCCTTTAAATTCAGGAACACAGGAATTTAAAATGGGGAACAAAGAGATAGCAGACCAGTTAAATACATATTTTTGTTCTGGCTATGCAACGGATAATACAAACAATGTTCTGAAAATGTTGGAACACGGGATCGAGTGAGAAGGAGGAACTGAAGAAAATCAGTATTTGTAGGGAAACAGTGTTACGGAAATCAAGGGGATTTAGGGCCAATAAATTCCCAGAGTCTGATCATCTACATCCCACAGTACTTAATGAAGTAGCCCTAGAAATAGTCACCATCAGGATTTGAAACACTCTGGAGCAGTCTAAATGGATTGGAAATTGGCTCATGTAACCCCACATTTTAAAAAGGAGGTAGAGAGAAAACAGGGAAATTACAGAATGGTTAGCCTGATATCGGTAGTGGGAAGAATGCTAGACTCCATTATAAATTTAACAGTAGAAAATAGCAACGGGAGCAGACAGATAGCATGGATTTACAACAAGGAAATCACACATGACAAAGATACTGGTACTGTTTGAGGATTTAACAAGTAGAGTGGATAAGGGGGAACCAATGAATATTGTTTACTTGGGATTTCAGAAGGCTTTCAATAAGGCCTCACATTAGAGATTAGTATGTAAAATTAAAACACATGGAATTGGGGGTAGTGTATTGACAAGGATAGAGAACAGGTTGGCAGACTGGAAACAAAGAATAGGAATAAACTAATCCTTTTCCAAGTGGCAGGCAGAGACTCATTGGCACTGCATGGATCTATTTTTGGACCCCACCCACTTTTCACATTGTACATTCACAATTTTAGACGTGAGAATGAAATGAAATATAAAATCTGCAAGTGTGTAGATGGCACAAAACTGTGGGAAGATGAACTGCAAGGATAATAGGGATGCTTCAGGGTGATTTGGACATGTTGAGTGAACATGTCCAAATAATAGCAGATGAAATTGTGGATTGATGAAAGATTATCCACTTCTGCAGCAAAAACAGGAAAGCAGATCACCAAAATGCGACAGATTTGCTAAGAGGGAGGTGTAACATGACCTGGGTATTCTTCTACAGCAGTCGCTAAAGGTCAGCATACAGGTGGTGCAGGCAATGAAGAAGGTAAATATAACGTTGGCTTTCACTGCGAGAGAATTCGAGTTCAGGAGCAAGGATATCTTGCTGCAATTGTCTAGGGCCTTCATGAGACCACGTTTGGAGTTGTATGTGCAGTTTTACTCGCCTTATCTGGGAATGAATGTTCTGGGCTATGTGGGAGTATGACAAAGGTTTACCAGACTGTTTACTGAGATGACAGGTCTGACCTATGAAGTGATCTACGAACAGAGACTTCGTCAGTTAGAACTATATTCACTGGAATTTAGAAGAATTTGGAGGATCTCATAGAAACCTATAAAATTGTAACAGGATCAAACATGGTAAATTCAGGAAGGATGTTCCACTTGACCAGGAAATCAAGAACCAGGCGGCCCAATTAAAAGATATGGGAGTAGGCCATTTAGACAAATAACAACTTTTTCACCAACAAAGTAGTCAGCTTGTGAAATTCTCAGCCACAGAAACAAGTTAAGGCCAACATTTTGAATGTTTTCAATAAGGAGTCAGATATAGTTCTTAGGGCTAAAATGATCAAAGGGCATTGGGAGAAAGGAAGAACAGGATACTGAGTTGGATGATCAGCCATGAACTACTGAATGGCAGAGCAGGTCCGTAGTGCCGAATGGCCTCCTCCTGCTCCCATTTTCTATGTTTCTATGTTATCTAAAAGTTGAATGCATCAGCAATACAGCGAAAAAGTATTTCAAAATTTAACTACTCTCATTGCCACTCTCATTGCTAGAAACCTAGAAATTGGTGAAGAATATAAATATATGTGGTCATTGCTCCGGTGTGGTGATTTAATGAATGAGTTTTATTCATCAGAAAAGTGTCCCAACATTTCACAAATTTCAAAAACTTGAGTGTTTTACAAGAATATCACGAATTCATTTGAAATTGACAATTTTATGCTCAATTATTTTAACAAAGGGCAACATTTCCACAGGAAATAAATATGATTTGTTTTTCTTTCCTCACAAAAGCTAAAAACAAAAATGACTAAAAATGACAACTGTTGAACAAATTCCTTAGTTGATTTATTCGCAGTTGTTGTATACTTATGTCCTCACCGTATCCCATTTCGTTGATCAAAAGCAGGTATCATGGATGCAGGGTGCTCTGACATCAGTGCAACCAACAGTTGCAAAACATCATGAATGTTTTCATCCTATGTCATGGAATAATTGTCAGTCAGTAAGCCAGACAAAATAAAACTCTCTTCATACAGATACTAAGTTGCTAAAAATCAACTTTCCACATGGTTCAAAATACAGCAAGAAGGGCACGCAAGCAAATTCAACCCTGAGACACCACAATATCCTGTGAGGAAGTAAAGATAAGAACAATAAACCCTACTCGAAGATATCTGTACTTCTTTAAATCTTGTCTTCTCTGCAGTCCTAATTAAATCTATTCAAAATTGGCAGTTCTACCTTCAAGTATCAAAGCCTTGAGCTCTGAAATTCCCTCCAAGTATCTCTCCAACTTGCTTTCCTTCTTTAGGATAATATTTAAAATTCAAGCTTTTTGTTACCTGACCTAATATCTCCTTATGCAGCTTGATGTCAACATTTGTCTTAAAATGTTTCTGTGTAGCTCCTAAACTATTTTGTTACATTAAATGCACCACCAAATAAAAGATGTTATTGGAAATGTAAATTGATACTAATATGCTCCATGGGTCAAACAGATTTTACAAAACAAAAAAAAAAGTAGGTTTCCCTTTACAATTTCTTCTCTTCAGTAATCCGATTTCTGCTTGGGTTACAGTTCTGTGGGAACTGGTCAAACTTCTGTGTCTCTTCAAAAATGGGCATTTTCATCACTGAGCCTAAACTATATGTGAGGAGTATGTGGCTTTGGAAGTTATGCAACTAAACCTAAGCCCTTCCACTCTTGACATTCAGATAGATAAATTGTGATTAATTAATTGAGAACAAATTTTGTTTGACATTAGGAGTTTCCTGGTTTGTATGGTTAGGTACCCAAATAAACTCACTCAGATTTTCGGGTAGTCCCAGATATTTTAAAATGACTGAAGACATCAAAGATTGAAAAATGTAAAACTTCAAGAAATAGCTATAATGCACATATTTGTTAAGTACAAAAATAGTAATTCCAGATGTGGTCTGACTACTGCCATGTACAGCTTTAGCAATATCTCTCTTATACTCCATTTCCTTTGAAATTAAGGCCAACATTCTATTTGCCTTCTCTATTACCGGAACTCACATGCTCACTTTTTCCAATAAATAGATAACACCCAAAACCCTCTGTGCTGCAGTTTACAGCAGTCTTTCCCCATCTAAATTATATTCAGCCCTTCTACACTTCCTGCCATGATGCATAACCTCACACTGGCCCGCATTATATTCCATCTATTGTTGCATTTTTGCCCACTCACTTAAGCTGTCCGTATCTCCCAAAGACTCTTTGTATTATCCTCAACATTTGCCTTCCTGCCTATTTTGTGTCACCAACAAACTAGGCAATTTTCAATTCACTTCTGTCATCCAAGTAATTCATATCTATTGTAATTAATTGTGGTCCGAACATTGATTCCAATAGCACACCTACAGGTTACAACTGTGAAAATGCTCCCTTTATCTAAATTCTGTATTCAATTATTTAGCCAATCCTCTATTCATAGAGTCATAGACGTATATAGCACAGAAAGAGACCCTTTGGTCCAATTCATTCATGCCGACCAGATATCCTAAATAAAACTAGCCCCATTTGCCAGCATTTGGCCCATATCCCTCTATACCCTTCCTATTCATATACCCATCCAGATGCCTTTTAAATGCTGTATTTGTACCAGCCTTCATCACTTCTTCTGGCAGCTCATTCCATATATACACCACCCTCTATGTGAAAAAGTTGCCCCTATGCCCCTTTTAAATCTTACCCCTCTCACCTTAAACTGATGCCCACTAGTTTTGGACTTCCCCCACCCCAGGGGAATAACATTGTCTATTTACCGTATCTATGCCCTTCATGATTTTATAAATCTCTATGAGATCACCCCTTGGCTTCTGACACTCCAGGGAAAATAGCCTCAGTCAATTCAGCCTCTCCCTGTAGCGTAAGCCCTCCATCCCTAGCAACATCCTTGTAAATCTTTTCTGAACCCTTTCAAGTTTCACAACATCCTTCCTATAGCATGCAGTATTCATCCAAATATGTTACCCCAAATCCATGGGCTGTTATCATATTAAGTAGCCTTATGTGTGGTACCTTATCAAACAACTTTTGGAAATCCAAATATATTTCTCAGACTCCCCTTTACCTATCCTGCTTGTTGCTTAAATGAATGCAATAAATTTATCAATCACAATTTCCCCTTCCTGAAGTTATGTTGACTCTGCTTGATTTTATTTCAAATTTGCAAAGACTCTGTTTTTACCTCTGTTATAATTGATGTCAGCATTTTTAAAATTAGATTTTATTAAGCAATTGAGTGAAAGTTTAGCAGGGATAAATAGGAATGTGGAGTAATCAGTTCAATCAGGATCTTATTGAATGGCAAAACAGGCTCAAGGAACTGAGTGGTATACTTCTGTTCTTGATTCACATGCTTGCATGACTGTATTTTTTTTAACTCACCTCATGCATGGTTAACAGGTAGTTAAGAATACTTTGAAGCTCATCTTCCTTGACACCACGATCCTATTCAAAATAACGTAATTACAGTTGACAAATTATATTCAGACAATGATACACAAAACATTGGCAGTAATTTAGATGAACTCTGTATTGGAGGACCATGCATTTAACCTAATATGTTTTCAGCTGCTTTGCTAAACCTTGATAGAATACAATCACAGGGAACATGCAATGAATTTTGTTTAATCACTGTAGTTATCTTCTTTCCCGGTTTCTATAATCTAATAAAGCTTAGTAAAAAGTGTACCATTTTTAACATTTAAGTATACATGTCAGTTCTTACCTTCAAAATTAGTTGCTTCAAAAATAGCAGCATAAAAGCCCGCAATGAAATAATTTCTTTCTGAGATGGACGAGGGCCATCTTGAAATAAAAAGAAAGTTTTCTGTCATTCATTTCAAAATTTTAGCGTAAAAATATGTCTTCCAATGTCCAGTTCCTAGACTTACAATCTTTTCATGTAAATACATTCAGCAAATTCCTGAGATATACAAATGGATCCTAACAAAACAATTTTCTTTTGAAAGAATTGTGCAAATTCAAACAACTTTAAAATACCTTGTGCCCAATTAAGAAAATAAACTTCAGAATAAAAAGACTAAATCAAATGTTTCTGGAGTATACCTGAATATGCAGGAAAAATATTTGGTTATTAAAAAAATCTAATTTAAATTACTAGCTATCCAATCCATGTTAGAAAATTAAAGCTAAATTTTATAAAATATATTGGCATAAGTTAAAAAAATTCTCAACTTTTATTGGGCATATTCCAAATATGGAACATACTGGTAAAAAGAGCCATCAACTTCATTTCACTAAGTCATGTAACAGTTACATCATTTAGTTAATATCCACGTAGCTCTGCTTAACAGGCACAGCGTTTCCCCTACATTTTTCTCCATGGTGTGTAAAAAATCATGTTAAATCTGACAATAAATATCTCATTCATCTTGCACTCTTTTAAAAATGCACTTATAAAAAGGATAAGATTGCTCTGAAATTAACGCTTTACTAAGTTCCAACTTACACCAATTCTCTATTCTTAATCTTGTGTTGTAAAACTGAGGCATGTACTAAAATGAATGGAATTCTTCATTTTTCAGAATGTAACTTCATTTACTTTATTGAACCATCTTAAATCTTAGCTTTTTTTGGGTAAATTCTCAAGATCAAAATGCATTCTGATAGAAAAAAAATTAAATTTCCGTCAAGGTTACTGATATATTTAAGAAATATATTGTACAATTTTGTGAGGGACTGTCAACACAAAGAAAACTGAATATTCAGCAATGAAGTAATAGAACTATGCCACAAGAATTTTTTCCCAGCACAAACAATCTTATAATATATATGAAGATTAATTAAACAAATTAAGATTATAGCTTAATAAAGCTATAGCTTATAAAGCACTGCAAAATTTATTCTGATTTCTCTTCAGTGTTCCATATATTCCCCAAAATGCAAAGTTGTAAGAAGCTTCTTCCGTTGGCTTTCAGCTAAGTGACCCTCCAACTTTCCTCAAAACCCCACAACTCTGAATCCAAAGCTCAAGTTGGGGAATGAGAATGAGAATCCCTCGTGGAAATCTCAGCAGGTGCAGGAATTGAACCTACGTTATTGGTGTCATACTGCATCGCAAACCATTCGTATAGCCAAATGAGGTAAACCAATTCCCGTGGATCAAAGAGAGGGCATTATATTGATCTGAAGAGTTTCAGACAAGAATGTGTTGGTGGCAGAATCTTTCAATTGTGTAATGTCAGACAACAGATTCATGTTTACAGCGCCTGGAATGAACTGGCTAAAATTTTACCTGGAGTCTCTCAGTAATAAAGATCGGAACAAAATTAAAGAATTTGGAGTTCACCAGTTCCAGATTTGGGAATAATTACTCATCCAAGATTTTAGCGTATTATCATTCTTTGGAAAATAGCCATAATTATTTTATAGACATAAATCTAGATTTTAGTAAAATACTGTTGTTAAAGCCATTGATTGAATGAAATGTGGATATGGAAAATAATAAAACAATTGTGTGTGCAAAATCTGTGAACTTGGAATTTACAATTGTGATACTAATGTGTTCGTTTATGGAATATAACCCCTTGACTAAAAAATTAAAGTGGTGTTATTGACACAGGGCAAAAATTTAGAAGACAATATTTACATTAAAATGAAATGGGCATCTGTCTTTTAATAGATTAAAGGAAACTACAATAGGTGCAGGAATAAGGAATGAGGAATACAATAAATTTATAAAAGAGATGAATGATGTAGGTGAGATCTTAATAAACACAAAAGATCACAGGCGTAGGCATTCAACAATGTAGTAGCTCTGGATTCAAATTTATGTCAAGAAGAAACAAACATTTCCATTTTACGTTTTGTGGATTTGACAAACAAATTCAGTCAGTCGATAATAATACATAATAAAGAGAAGAAAACAATTGGAGAAAGGTAATGGAAAAGTAGACAGAGGTCAGACTTGGCAAAATTTCTCTCAGATAATTAGGGCAATTGCAAATGATCAGCTCAGAGAGTTATGTGCAAATATGAATGCAGCGGCAGAATGCACTTTTAGCAACAAAGTATGTGGAAGTATGAAATGGTTCATAAAATTTTGGTAGATCAATCAGACAATAAATTATCAGTTGCACCAGCATGGGCTGTTCGTGCTAAGAATTCGGTGCAGACAATTGGTTATTATGGATCATATCAGTTTGTTTCTGGTAGTAAACTTCAAGTTCCATCAGTAATAAATGATCAGCGCCAGATTCTGAAGGGATGGCAATCAGCACACTTTTTTAAACATTTGAATACACTCCACCAGGCAGCTAAGCTTTAGTTAAAGCTGAAATTTCAAGAAAGAATTTGGTGAACCTTAAAACATAAGGCCATTGGAAACTGGTTTCCATCAAGGAGATAACAAGGTGTAGAGCTGGATGAACACAGCAGGCCAAGCAGCATCAGAGGCCCAAAACGTCAGCCTTCCTGCTCCTCTGATGCTGCT